GCTCTTTTGTGTTCATTTTGTCATCTTGTTTTTCAGAAGCTAGATTAAGCAGAGACAGAAAACTAGATACTGAAAGGGATGTTGGGGAAAGAAGAACACACACACACACACACACACACACACCCGACAGAAGGTGAGATAAATGAAGGAAGGTAGCAGTGATGTTTCTCTAAATGAAGTGTCATACCTGTCCTGGACTGGTCTCGCTTCACTGACTCGAGACATTAATCAGGAGGCGTCCTGCAGGGGGTCACTGTATGTACAATAACACAACTACACACACTGCAGTATTTACTACAGTTTTTTTGATGAATGCATCCAGATTCCTTTAGCTGGGATGTCTAAAATCAGCGTATATGCATTTGTCTGTTTGCATAAATGTGAGTGGAGCGTGGACACGAAACAGCCTCCGTTCATTTTAAGGAAAACTGCTGTATTGGAAGTAGTCGGCTGCCAGTTCAGAGGGCTCACCCTGAAAATATCTGATACTTGCTTTCATTGTTTCTGTCTGTTAAGTATATGCAAATGCACAGTATTACAGTACTGCCATACAGGCAATAACAGTTTTACTCTACAGTGATTTACAGCATTTAAACATGTTTACTGCTCTTTTTTTTCATAAGTTCTGACATCCAGAGTTCAAATTAACACCCAGCGAACTGCCAAATGTGGGTAAATGTTCCATTTAGTGGATGAGCCTCAGGGGTGTAGCTTCCACTCTGGTGGGTAAATGTTCGTGCCAAAATAATCATGTAATAACACACAGCGGTGAGAGCCTATAATGTGTTCTGGTGTCATTTTAAAGCACCCTGCTATAGGGGGTCAAGTGTGACAAGTTTGATGAGGAAGCTTGTCGAGTACACTGGGGAAATCATTATTTGATCCCCTGCTGAATTTGTATGTTTGCTCACTTACAAAGACATGAAAGGTCTCTGTTTTATGGTTTCATTTTAAGGGACAGAGATAGAATATCAACCAAAACTCCAGAGAAAACACAATTTCAGCTTTTTTCTTTTCTTTTTAAAGTTAAAATTTAATCCCAACCAAAACATGGCCTAGTAGTTGGAGCCTTGTTGGCAAGTGGTAAGACATTTCTTGTCTCATCTCAGCTGGGAGTTTGGCCCACTGCTCTTCTCTAAATTCTCTAAATCTTTTAGGACAGCAGTCCCCGACCCCCGGGCCATGAGTCGTTTGGCCGCGAGAGTTGAGGCTCGGGTTAAAATCTATGGCTTTCAGGGTTTTAATCGGTTTTTAGCGTTATTGTTTTTTTAATGGTTTTTATTATTAACTCTGTTTCCCTCGGGCTTTTCCCGTGTGTTATGAATAAATCGTCCATTTTTTGGTACCGCTA